TATACTGGTGAGAGATCTCTCCTTATTGTAATGTTACTAGGCAGTGTCTATACCACTGGTGAGAGATGGGACTTGTCTCTTTATTGTAATGTTACTAGGCAGTGTCTATACCACTGGTGAGAGATGAGGCGTGTCTCCTTATTGTAATGTTACTAGGCAGTGTCTATAACACTGGTGAGAGATGAGGCGTGTCTCCTTATTGTAATGTTACTAGGCAGTGTCTATACGTTATTGTAATGTTACTGAGGTGAGTTAGGGCTTGTATCCTTAGTTTACTAGGCAGTGTCTATACCACTGGTGAGAGTTAGGGTTTGTATCCTTATTGTAATGTTACTAGGCAGTATCTATACCACTGGTGAGAGTTAGGGCTTGTATCCTTATTGTAATGTTACTAGGCAGTGTCTATACCACTGGTGAGAGTTAGGGCTTGTATCCTTATTGTAATGTTACTAGGCAGTGTCTATACCACTGGTGAGAGATGAGGCTTGTCTCCTTATTGTAATGTTACAAGGCAGTGTCTATACCACTGGTGAGAGATGAGGCTTGTATCCTTATTGTAATGTTACAAGGCAGTGTCTATACCACTGGTGAGAGATGAGGCTTGTCTCCTTATTGTAATGTTACAAGGCAGTGTCTATAACACTGGTGAGAGTTAGGGCTTGTATCCTTATTGTAATGTTACTAGGCAGTGTCTATACCACTGGTGAGAGATGAGGCTTGTCTCCTTATTGTAATGTTACTAGGCAGTGTCTATACCACTGGTGAGAGATGAGGCTTGTCTCCTTATTGTAATGTTACTAGGCAGTGTCTATACCACTGGTGAGAGTTAGGGCTTGTATCCTTATTGTAATGTTACAAGGCAGTGTCTATACCACTGGTGAGAGATGAGGCGTGTCTCCTTATTGTAATGTTACTAGGCAGTGTCTATACCACTGGTGAGAGATGAGGCTTGTATCCTTATTGTAATGTTACAAGGCAGTGTCTATACCACTGGTGAGAGTTAGGGCTTGTATCCTTATTGTAATGTTACTAGGCAGTGTCTATACCACTGGTGAGAGATGAGGCTTGTATCCTTATTGTAATGTTACAAGGCAGTGTCTATACCACTGGTGAGAGTTAGGGCTTGTATCCTTATTGTAATGTTACTAGGCAGTGTCTATACCACTGGTGAGAGTTAGGGCTTGTATCCTTATTGTAATGTTACTAGGCAGTGTCTATACCATTGGTGAGAGATGGGACTTGTCTCTTTATTGTAATGTTAATAAGCAGTGTCTATACCACTGGTGAGAGTTGGTGCTTGTCTCCTTATGGTTATGTTACTTACAGATGTCAGCTATGAATACAGTGTATATATCTAAAATAACTTTATATTTCAGGGTGCAAAGATCATGGTCACGATCACTGCAAAATATAGAAATTGTCAAATATCAATGTAGTTTTCATTGACAAAAATATAATTTTTTGGTTAAAGATTTAAATAAATTTAGTTTAATATGAGAGTTGTTTCATACACAATTTCATTAGTTCTAAAATGGAACGACATTTTAGTGGACACGTCAGAGAAACTTTGTCATCTGGCTCTGACATATTGTGCGTATCATGTGACATAGGATGGTCATGATTGGTATTCTGTCCGTTCGTAGATTTCCTTTACCACTGAGATGTTATTACCTTCCTCAGCTGGGTATGACAGACAGATTGGCAAGAATACCTTGAAGATTGCATTGTCTCCTTTTATAGTGTAGTATCAAGGCAGAGGGACAATTTCCTGTCCATTATGTTTAAACAGAAGCCATTACCTTAACAATGGGTTTTTCCACGGTGACATGCCCAGAGGTTGGCATGACAACTAAGCAAAGGTCAAGGTCACTGCAAAGGTCATTGCCCTGAGCGATGGAGATGGATAACAAACAAAGAAAGCTATTTAAAGCCATAGAAAAAGTAACAAATTGTTCAACATTTAAAAAAAAAATTAAGGATGTCAAGGAAAAAATGCAAGGCCAGTTCTAGTTGACATCATTGTCTTAGACAAGAAAACAACAGGAAGATTTTTCTGTGAGCAGTGTTTCTGAATATGTTACTTGACTAAACAGCCATAAGATCAATATCAGGCAAAGCTTTCATCTTTTACGTAGAAAGAATCGTGCTTTCCAACCATTCCTTTTTCCCAATTATATGCTACTTATTAAGATGGTTTGCAGTCTGCTTAAGATATTTTCCAAGCAATGAATGATCTAATGTTGTTACTACTATTTTTTCAAGAATTTAAACAACAGTTGAGCCGGTGTAAAGCTCAATAACGTATACTTATTGGTCAGATCAAAGATGATGCGATCAAAAACTTGTTTAATAAACATTGACAAATTTATTACACCAAGTTCTCGCTGAATGCATATATTTTGTACTTAAAAGAATCCTGCTGACACAGAAAGCTGTTTAGGTAAATAATTTCTCTAATAATCCTTATTATGTTTAATATCTTACTGTCTGGAATTTCAGTGTGGAAATTGTGTGCATCCAAAACTCTAATCTCTGTCTTTTGACTAATAAAGTTTTTGTAGTAATAAACAAATAAGAAAGTGTTCTGATAATGATACTGGTGGCAAAACTTTGGAGTCTCCATCCTAGGGAGAGCTTGCAAACAATGTCCAATCTCTTGGGTTCTATCTTGAGTAGATTTAGATATACTCAACAAAAAAAGAAAGGTTAACATGTTTCCTTGGCGAATACCTGTAAATGAGTGAAAACAAAATGATGTTTGTGCAATATTAGAAAATGGTAATGTTTTACATTACAAAATCCAAGGGGGTTACCAAAATCATTCAAGCGTGAAAGTCTGTATTAGCAAAAGAGCTGCATGAGGTTTTCTGCGACTAACTTGTATCTTCGCTTGAATTTCATAAACATTCAAACTGACAACTGTTCCTTAGATCCTTAGGACTTGGAAATCACCGAATCTTGCTATCTATCAACTTTATCATTATGCCCCGTCTGTCACAAGTACAGAGAGAAAGGGCTGTAGGCATGATCCAGGCTGGGGAGTCTCGCCGTCGAGTTGCACGGCATTTTGGTTGCAGTGTTAAGACAATATGCCAGTTGGTAAGTCGTTTAAACCAAACTGGGTCAACATCCGATCGTCCCCGCAGCGGCTGACCCCGTAAAACGACCGCCAGGGATGACCATCGTATACGATTGATACACTTGGGCAATCGATTCATAACCGCAGTAGAGACTACAAGGACATTGTTTGGGCGTCGTGTGTCTCCCCAAACAGTCCGCAACAGGTTGAGTGCCTACCAATTGAAAGCGCGGCATCCCTACACTGGACCCAATTTGTTGCGACGTCACCGTAATAATCGTTATTAAACATAATAAATTTGTGGGGGGGACTCGTACCAGGCTTGTTGTGTAAAATGGCAATTTAACCGGCAACCAATATCGGGACGAAATTTTAAGACCAGTGGTTCTGCCATTCTTAAGCGCCATTTTTCACCAGGATAATGCACCAGCGCACACCAGTCGCGTCAGCAGAACTTTCTTGCAGCAGAATAACGTACAGGTGTTAGATTGGCCATCTAAATCACATGATTTGTCACTGATTGAGCATGTCTGGGACGTTCTTGGGCGACGCGTGAGAGAATGTCAAAATTAGCAGTCAAACTTGCAGGAGCTGGCCCAAGCCTTGATCGCTGAATGGAACAACATCTCTCCTCGAATCATCCGCCGGTTTACGAGTTCCATGTGACGACGCTGCAATGCTGTTTACTTCGTAAATGGTGACCATACCCGTTACTAATGGTGTTACCTTTGAAATTGACCCCAACGTTTTATAATGAACCATGACTGCAGTTTTATCAGAATTAACCAATTACTTTATTCGTACATGATTAGTAAGGATTTATGAAGGGGTTAATTAATTAATCACAGAATAAAGAAGTGTTACTTTTCTTTTTTTGTTTAGTATATTAGTATAAGGTGTTACATTATCAAAACCATCAGACTTGATATACATTGGACGCTTGATAAACCAAACACTTTCGTTCAGTACCAAAATTGCCCTAATTATGCTTTTTCTGGACTACGGAATATCTCCCTTGATTATGATAAAATCTTCAGTATAATTTTGTTGGTTGTTTACAAAATATTTATATATTAGTTGTGGATACAGGTATTTATAAATGTCTTTCTTCGCCTAATTATTTCTTTATCCCATGAATGACCTGTATGGAAATTGAAATTCCCATTAACTCTTGTTAAATGACTGGCTACTATGACTAAACACAGTGTGTAGCAGTATTTTGTACACCTCTAACAAATTGAAAATAGATTTGTGTAAGGACAATAACAATTTAAGTTAATTGTTTACTGATAAACAGTAATGGAAACAGTAAAACATGATTTCTTGAACAAATGTTTTTTTTTTTTCTTTTTTGTTTTTTTTTCAAAATTCCAATAATATCTGTTGATAGTTAATTATATATGTATACATATGTATATAACTAAGTATACATTAAAGTAACATATATCCATGGATATGATGGAGAACAAGTAACATCACATTCATAGACATATATATTATATTCTGCAATTTATTCTGTATAGAAGCTGTATGGTGATGTGTGTAAAATTTCTCTACTTGACAATCCATAGGATACATCTTGAATATCCCAGACCATCTTGTGTGAGAGAAGCTGTCCATCATTCCTCTAGACTCAGGTTTAGCCATATCTTGAGACTTTACCATTGCTTGAGAGATTTACTGAGAATCTTGATCGGATTACAAAAAACCAGTGATCTACAATTTGATCACATTTATTGTACTGCTGCATGGCTGCTTTTCTGGACTTCAATGACCAAAACAAATCTTAGGCAATTCACAAGGGGGTGAAAAAACAGGAAGCCATGTTGGATTGCCTTGATGTGCTTCGTTAGTTCTCCTAGCTCAGATATATCCAAGTCAGAGGTTCCTCACCCTGATATATTACACTCATTAAATCAGTATGGCTCTGCTGACCACTCAGATGACTGCTCAGACAAACAACAACTTAACGCATGGTTCAAGCACAGGTCAGTTTTCAAAAACTAACCAGTTCAGAGCCTGCGCACAGGATAGTATTTGGTTAATATCCTGCTCTTGTACATGACAATGATGTAATGTACATTTGATAAACAAATAACCAAATTTAATATGTCATGATAAAAAAAAAACAAAACATTGATAGTGAATCCAGACAATGCCGAAATCACAATTGACCTGGGAAGAGAAGAATGTAGTTTTGACTTGTCATATCAAGCCTTTGATTTTTATATTATAGTTGTGATCATGCATACAAGAAAAAGAAATTATACATCCCAGTGTACAGCTCCTATTTCTGAGTGTCAAACTTATCCGATAAATCTACCACATTAGTGAAGGTTTGAAGAACTTTTTCACCTATCAGGAACATTACAGTATTTCAAGTTAAAATATCTTTGTTTTCTTGCTTTTTCATGTTCAAATATTGATTAAAAACAGTAAGATTGTAGTTGGTGTCCATGTTTGTCATACCATAGTCTAACACACTGAACACTAACTAAAGTTTGAAGGCCAACACATTAACCAATCAGCCAATTTGTCCCTCATTGATGCTATTGAAGGGGACTGGGAGTGTGATCTGTTTACCAGTCTGTCTTGCTGTCTGTAAGAATTTCTGTCATATTCACCTTTATCTCAAATTCTCTTCTAATTGACAAATCATGTATTTATATAACTCTTGTGGTGCAGAGAGCCATACATGAAAATGTACACTTCAGTCCAAGATGTTTTATATATAGAGTTATGTCCCTTTGTTCTTCTGGCGTTGCATTACCCAGGGTATTGCATATTATAGTGTTAGACTTAGTTACCAAATTTTGTCACAGTATTTGTCTATTCATGAGATAACAAAAGTGACACATTAACTGGAATTAGGTTTGTACCTCCTTACATACACACTTGTGTCCCTTCATCTGTTTTGGTTTCTGACGTTTGTTAGGAATGTGAGGGCATGTACAGTTTTATATCAATTTTCTAAAAAAAAAAAAAAAATCTAACTGTGGCCTGTGACACTGGGACCACCCAGAGCAAATATAGATACAGTTATAAACTTGTCAAAAAATTGCCAGCCTGCCCAATTAAATATAAAAAATAAAATGTTGCAAACACATTCATCACTGAAACTAAAACATGTTCTGATGACTTTTTACAGGTATATACATGAATATTCTCAATTAACTTTAGCTTTAACTTTAGAAATCGGAACTAATGATAAAAAAAATTTAATTAAAAAAATTGTTGATTGACACAAAAAGTTATATGCAAATGTAAGTGCAAAATATGATGTCTTGTACTTTTTTTTTTCAAAATATTTGATATATATATATATATATATACATGTTTTATATATATTAGTAAAACTTAGATACCTTGTGTATCGATTAAATATACTGATTGTCTTGCCTTTCATGAACTGTCATTTACAATGATATTTATATTCCTATAAGAGTAATTCAGTCAAGAAAATTTTAATGATTATTTAGGAAACCAATTGAGTTTATTGTCAAAATCTTAAGTACCAAAAGTAGATGTGCCACTGAAGTGTCAAGAGGCGGAGATTTATCATCCACAGCTTTGGCAATACAACAATTTCTGATGTTGGGGTGTGATGTTATGTCTGTGATTGGATATTGTGTAAAAGTTAATTGGGGACATGGGATGCATACTAAGACAAGATGTCACCAGGCTGTGACATTTACGAATTCTCTGCTGACTCAGAGACGTTCACGCCACAGGAGACCCTGTAGATTGTTCACAGGAACTTGCCTTGTTACAAAAACCTACAACTCTATCTGTCTTCACCCAGATAAAGCAATTTCAAGTGTTTTAGTTTCAATGATGAATGTGTTTGCAACATTTTATTTTTTTATATTTTTATTGGGCAGGCTGGCAATTTTTGACAAGTTTATAACTGTATATATATTTGCTCTGGGTGGTTCTGAAAACATTCATCTCTTTGGGGGAAAGCAGTTTGCATGTCTCTAAAGTTGGTCCCGGAGAAGAGAAAGTAAGTTACCACACATTGTGTATTTCTGAGAAATGTTTATAGGATAGCCACTAGAGATGCTTCTATCTTTAATTGAAGATGAAGACCTCAGATTCTAGAACTACCCCATGGCCCTATTTTTGAGATAGAACTAGGTGTGATATTTAATATGGAAACCATGTCTCCAGGGATCTCAATGTTGTAAGATGTATGAGGGTCATGATGAATAAGTTGGAGGCTCTGTACCACTCAAGGTAAGACACAGAGATTTTTTTTTGTTTATTTTTTTTTTTTTTTGTCAAAAACAAATGTGAAAATGCAATGCTTTACTCATATTCTGTACCATAGAAACAAATTGTACCATTGAAATGCATTGTACTCTAAAAGGGAGTTCTTAACTGATTAAGAGAATAAGGTACTTTAAAAGGAAGTTCTTAACTAATAAAGCAATTTTTGTATTCTAAAAGGAAGTTCTTAACTAATTAAGAGATTAAGGTACTTTAAAAGGAAGTTCTTAACTAATTAAGAGATTAAGGTACTTTAAAAGGAAGTTCTTAACTAATTAAGAGATTATAGCACTGTAAAAGAAGTTCTTAACAAATTTAGAGATTATAGCACTGTACAGAAAAGATCTTAACAAATTTAGAGATTATAGTACTGTACAGAGAAGTTCTTAACTAATTTAGAGATTATAGTACTGTACAGAGAAGATCTTCACTAGTTTAGAGATTATAGTACTGTACAGAGAAGATCTGAACAAATTAAGAGATTATCCTACTCTTTCTTGTTCATATATCTTACATTAACAGTAGAGTAATATTTCATGAAAAAATATCTTGGTAATCAATATATTTGTTTTCAAAAAATGATCTATAGAGAATGCCTGTATATTTGACCTTGCTTATCAATCATTGTGACAAAATTAGGTGCTGAATATTCTGTTAATGCCATATAGTAAACATGATTAAAAAAAACATAAATTCTTAATTTTCTTTTCAGCTTATGTAATAGATATTTATTGTTGTACCTGATAATTGGTTAAGTGGGAGGTAACAACACAGAGGGCGTTGGGTTGACACTCAACCTCTAACTTGGTGATCAATGTGTGTCGACTTGCAAGGGCTTACAATTACACACTGTATTAAGACGCAGGTGTAGAGCAACTGTTTCTCTTGGAGAAATATCTATTCTTAGTTCACTTCAGAATGATAAAGGTTAATTGTGCTAGACTAAACTTGGAGGCCTGCTAGTGGCACTGGTCAACCTGAAGCATGAGCAGACAGCGTTTGTGTTATAGAAAGGCATGCTGATTGTTTGAGAACTTTGATAACTGCTGCTGTGGCTGGAAGGTATAATAAGCCTCTCTGATTACATGAGTTAATTCAACCTAGTTTTTTTAACTTGTCACCTAAAACAGGACTGATTCTTCTGGGTCACTACAACCGTAATGGAGTTTTCTTCTCCCTCTATGGAGTAAAGGTAACGATAATACAGACAAATTGATACTAATTTTGTAAATAGTTACATACCCTGTAGGGATATAATGCTTGTAATTGTAAACTTTCCAGGTTAAAACATTTAAACTTTGTGACAAAATGATTTAGAATTTTTTTAGATACTTTAGAATAACTTGTTTCTACTTAAACATAATTACCTATATTTGTATGTAATAGAGATTCTGTTCACTAAATGTTCCTTAGCCTTGATGTTTTTTGCTACAAAGTGTTACTGTTAATTATCAGGTAAGGCTGTACACTGAACTTTCTCTAAGATGGAGATGTATCTGTATATAAGCACCTTTGAAACAGGCTACTATTATGCATTCTTCTTTCACAAATCTGAAGGTCAAGGTCAAAGAAATTTGTTATTGATAAAAGTTGAAGGTGTGATGTAAATATATATGGACAGTACTTACCAGGCAATTTCTAATGTTAAGGACAGGAAAAAACCTTGTTCTGAGGGTTAGATGACAGATAAAGTTCTCATTGTGTATAGGTGTAGCTTACATATGATTTGAAAACATTTTCTTTTTATCAAGATTTGGAAATAATAATCATCTACTAATATCAATGAATGTATGCCGTTGCCCACTCCATGAGCCACTTGTATGTCTGTTCTAAGTTTTAAACAAACTAGATTTTTTTTATATATATATCTATTTTGAATGACATGGTCAGCTTTGATTTTTTCACTATTAGTAGCAGAGTTTAAATTACTGCAGTCATAATACATCCCAAGGGATTAAATCTAGAGTTCACTCCCTTTAACACACATGTAATCACTACTAGAACGGTTTTATAGTTTCCACTTCCAGATCAAAATATTAACTGATTGACCAGAAATATTTTTTTCAAGTTAAATTTGGAAGGACAGTGTATCTAATTGTGACAAAAAATCTTGCGTTCATAGATAGATAAATAAAATAGATTAGTGAATGAAAAATTTAACATAACAAGATTCAGTTTTAAAAAACAAGTATGTTCAATTTTTGTAAAACGGACAATATCTAGGACTACTAATTCTATTGAGAGAAATATTTGTAAATGAAGATATCCTGTCTGAAAGTCTTGTCAAGTCTTAAGGAAGTTTTTGTGTCTTTGTATAGACAAATCAACTGCTTATCCTTTTTCTGCAAAATTACATAAGGCAAATATCAAGAAGGACAGCTGATCAATTATCTGAATAATCATTGACAGAAATGTATATAATTCCTTCTAACTACATTCATGTATTCTGCATTGATAGGGTTAGTCGTCTGTGTCCATTTCATGTGATTGTCTATGAGCCACAGACTTCTATATTATACAGCTAAATAGAGACAATTTCGTTAGTGTGTCACAACATCAGATTATATTTTCAGTGAAGCTATGAATGTTAACAATTTATTGGAAAACATCAGGACACATTTTCGCTTGACTATATCGTAGTTGATCTATAGGGCTAGTAGATCTTTTTGGGCCTTATTGTTGAAATATGACAATCAGATATTTTTGTGAATGAGACTTT